CTCCTTTGCTCCATCTGCTCCCTCTAAATGAGGATGCAACTTTCTCCAGAACCTTTCTTAAAAATGGAAGCTTGGAGATGTTCTCAAGTTGTCGAAAGCAGCTGGATGGAGAAGGCTTCCTGATCGAGGGGGGGGGGGGACACCACAGCCCCCAATCTCCTGACCACATGGAAATAACACCCTTTCTCCCCTCTTTGCATGAGGTCTTCCATTGCACACACCACCCACCAGGGGGCGCCCTCTGCAGAGAGGGGAACACCATGCACCTCAGGGTTGGGCCACTGGAGGGCGATGGCCACAGATGGCTTCCCAGAGGAGGGTGGGAAAAGGAGTGACATCACTACATCTTACCTCTCTTGGAAGCTGGGCTCTCTCTCTTTAACCCTTTGAGCTTCACAGGAGGTAAAAAAGGCTGCAAGAAAGTCTTGCAGGGAAGAAATCCAGAGGAGGCCCTGGGTGAGTCGGGGCGTTTTCCTGTGCAAAGGGAGGCAGAGGGATCAATCTTCTGGGTCCTGGGGGTGGGTGAGCCTGAATCCCATGTTCCCCTGCAACCCCTCTCCTTCCACGTAACAAGCAGAGGGAAGCAGAGCTCCAGACCAGCCGTGCTGCCCCCAGGAACAAATCCAGGATGCCCAGGACGGAGGAGGGGATCTGTGGGATCCATCGCACCTCATTTCCTGGGAAAAACCTGAGGGGGGGGAGAGAGGGAGAGTTTGCACTTCAAATCTGAAGCAGGAAAGAAGAAAAGCTTTGCAAGGAAGGAGGTGCCAGAGATTGTGTCTGCATTCTCACTACGTGCTGCTGAGGCTGAAATAGGGCTGGATCCTCTGCAGTTCAACACGTCTTAGGAGGGTGAGTGAACCAGGACATCCTCTTAAGCTCCGTTCCTTCAAGCCCTATGCTTTGTGTGAACTCGGCCCCTGCTGTTGGGGGACGTGTTTGGGCTTAGGGCATGTTGTCTGAACCCGCCTAGGTGTCCTGGTGTCACTTGGCTCTTAAAAGCCAACCCTGAAGAAAAGGAACTAGGACATCCCAAGCCAGGGTCATTTCACTGGCGTTTCATTTTATCTGCACTGAACCTTCGTGG